CCCCCCGGTTCCTCCGGTGCTCGGCGCCGGGGGGGTCAGAGCTGCCGTCGGTGGGCTCGGGGCGGGGGTGTGCGGGCAGAGGGGGGCGCGGGGCGCAGGGTGTGGGGCGGAGGAGAGTGGGACCGAGCAGGAGCATCCCCGGCTCCCGCGCAGCCCCCGGCCCTCGCCGTGCCCCGACCCCCACCGGGCCGGGCAGCGCAGCCCCCCCGCAGCCCCGAGAGGCGGGGGCGGGAGCGGTGCCCCGCAGCAGATGTGGTTTGTAATCAAGTCGCAGATTAAGGCCTGCGGGTTTTGGGGTCACCGGTCTCCAGCGGTGCAGAAGACGGGATTTATCCTGTCCCTGTTCCCAAACATCCCCAGACACCCACGGAGGGGCCGGGGGGGCTGGCAGCCGAGTGGCCTACATATGCAGCCCACCCCCACAGACCCCCCCGGTGCCCTGTGTCCCTCTGGTCCTGCAGGGAGCCCCTCTTTCCCCGGAGCCCCGAGCCTGGTGCTGAGTGACTGGTATGTATCAGGGATCACTGGGTCCACACCGGCTCCGGGTGCTCGGTGCGGGCAGCTCCCACCAGGCCAGGCACCGGGCAGCGGCGGGCACCGGGCAGTGAAGTTGCCACCTGCGAGCAGCGGGTGCCGGGGCCGCTTCCTGCGCAGGCAGAGCCGGTGCCGGTGGGTGAAAGAGGGAACAGAAAGCCCCAGGTGCGGCGGTGCAGCCGGCAGCACACTGGTAGTTCTGATACCGGGAGCTGGAGCCGTGTGCCAGGGCTGTGGGTACCAACCCTCCTGTGCCCCAGACCTTCACAGCATCTGCTGGTCTGTCCCCGGGAGAGACACAGCCCCAGTTTATCAGCTGGCCTTACCCTGCCACTCCAGGGGTGCTGCCTGCTCTGGCCGCAGCCCCATGTCCCGTCCCTGGGCTGTGAGGGCCTCGGTGGGGCCACAGAGGATCCCTGCTCTGCACCCACTGCTGGCCACAGAATCACAGAAACACAGGATCTTCTAGGTTGGAAGGGACCTTAAAGATCATCTTGTCCAACCGTCAACCTCACTTTGACAAAAATAGACACCCACACAACAAACAAGGAGCATCATCACTAAACCAGACCTCCCAGCACTACATCAACCCGGCTTTTGAACACCTCCAGGGATGGTGCCTCAACCCCCTCCCTGGGCAGCCCATTCCAATGGCTGAGAACCCTTTCAGTGAAAAAAATTTTCCTAATATCCAGCCTGAACCTCCCCTGGTGTAACTTGAGGCCATTTCCTCTTGTCCTGTCGCCTGTGACTTGAGAAAAGAGACCGACCCCCATCTCTCTACACCCTCCTTTCAGGGAGTTGGAGAGAGCAACAAGGTCTCCCCTCAGCCTCCTCTTCTCCAGGCTGAATAACCCCAGCTCCCTCAGCCTCTCCTCATCAGACTTATTCTCCAGACCCCTCACCATCTTTGTCGCCCTTCTCTGGACCCGCTCCAGCACCTCAATGTCTTTTTTATGGTAGGGGGCCCAAAACTGGACACCCAGCCTTGGCCTCGGGACCCTCCTCTCTCCCCTTCCCCCAGGATGCAGGGTGCTGGATGGCACCTCCAGGGCTGGCACAGGGCAGAGGTCTGCAGCCAGTGTCCTTGTGCTGCAGAAAGAGCATGGGAGGGGGAGAGACCTTCCAGCAGAGCCCTGGGGACAACACCCCAGGGCCCGGTCCTGCTCCAGCCCCACAGCGAGCTCCCAGGGCTGGCAGAAACCCTGCCCACTCCCCGTGCCCAGCTGGAGGCAGCGGGAGGGACGAGGACAGAACTGGGATAAGCCACGGCTGTAGCGGGGAGAAAGGGGGATTGAGGGATTACCGCGGCAAGCAGCCAAAATCCCACTAAACCCAGGGATCAATGTGCTCCCCGCCTAGGGAGAGGAAAGTGGGGCCTCTGCCCCACAGGAACTAATCTGCTCCTTAATGAGGAATTGGGAATTCTGTTGTCAACAACCAGCAACACTCCTGCCCAGCGCTGCAGGGGCACGAGGGCACAGGGCTGGGGGGGTGCAGGGACGGGCTGGGACCCTTGGGCGGGGAGGGTGCCCTGCACCCAGATCCATGTTTCCCATCAGAACACGACGTTCCTGGACTGGACACAGCTCTGATGGTCCTGCTGGACCAGTGTCCTGCCTGCGCCCAGCTCAGTGCCAGCCCATGCTCCACTCCATGGCCCCGCTCCCTCCAGCCTCCCCTCTGCTGCTGCAGAGACAGCCCCCGCAGGGCAGGAGCCCCAAACAGTCCCGGGGTGGGCTGGGGTCTCCCGGGGTGCTGGGAGTCCTTGGCCAGGCCCCATTCCCCTCAGCTGGGTGCTCCCAGGCTTGTCCCCCATCCCCGTGTGAGAGGGGCTGAGCAGAGCTGCTATTTCTGTCCCCGACACGCAGATGCAGCCCCAGAGCAAGAGATGCAGGACAGATTTTGGAGCGGGGTCGCATCTGCCTCTTCGCCTTCTTCCTCTGGGGCTGGGCTTCTGCTCTGCATCGCTCTCGGTATCGGGAGCAGCACGTGGTCAAACCACAGGTTGCAGAGCAGAGACTGGGGAAAGGTCCCGCTGCACGATGCAGGAGCAGGTGAGAGGGGCTGCGGGGCGAGGGGTTCGCTGGGGGCCGGGTGGGGACCCCCCTCACTAACTCTTCTTGTTGCTTTCAAATGCTTCTCGTGAGCCGTGTGGGTTTGGGCTGAAAGACAAAGCCCCAGGGAACGCTGAGCGGTACCCGGTGCTCCAGGTCCCCAGGTCCCAGAGCAGGGAAGGGGCTGGGGGAGCTGGGGGGGATTCAATCTGCCCCGGCACTGGGTTCAGATCCTACCTGCAGCCCCAGAGCAGGGGGGGGGATCAGGCCTGGCTGCCTGGGCTCGCTGATGTGAGCCAGGAGCAGCAAAACTGCTCTCGTGAGGCTGCTCTGAGTCAGAGCCGTGATGGATCCTGACCCCCATGGCAGGGGTGTCCTGGGTGGCTGGTGTCAGGCTGCAGCACTGTCCCTCCATCCCAGAGCAGGACTGAGAGGCCAGGAACTGGGAGGACCAGGCACAGCTGCCTGCAACTTGTGCAAGGCAGTGGGATGCCCCGGGACCTCCCAGGCTGGGAGCAGGACCGGGCACTGAGGGGCAGTGCCGGCACCGGGGTCCCCAGGGTGCTGCGTGGGTGGGTGGGTGCTTTGGGCAGGTCCAGGGATGAACACAGGGACCTGCTCAAAGCACCCCCAGGGCAACCGGGGCCGTGGGGTGGGTGCTGAGCCCCAGGGGACATCAGGAGCAGCTCCCCCGCGGTGTGTGCACGGTTAGTTGGTGGGACGTGGTGCTGTGCCGGGGACGCCGCGGCCGGGGTCACGTCTCCCCACCGGCTCTGCACCGCAGGCAGCTGCTCGGGAAGCGCGTGGTCGCTCTCGCAATGACTGAGCGCGGTGAACCTCCCGCTGCCTGGGGCTGGGTGTGAGATGGAAACCGCCCCGAGCTGGGGGACTGGGGGCTGCGGCACGCCCCGGGCTCCCCGCAATGGGGCTGGGTGGAGGGGGGCTGCCCGGGGTGCGGTGCGCTGCACGCTGCGGCTGGGCCACCGCCTCCGAGCACCCCCTCTTCATCCTCCCTCTGTGCAGGCCACCCCCAGCCCCGCTGCAACGGAGCCCACTGCCACCACCGACTTCTACGAGTACTCGGAGGAGGCTGTGCTGCCCGAGCTCTGCGAGAAGCAGGCGGTGCAGGGCTTTGCCCGCACCTACCAGCCGGCCGTCTACCTGCTGCTCTCGCTGCTGGGCACGGTGGGGAACGGGCTGGTGCTGCTCACGCACACCCGCTACCGCCGGGCACACAGCATCACCGACGTCTGCCTCCTGCACCTCGCCCTGTCCGACCTCCTGCTGCTCCTCACGCTGCCCTTCGCCGTCACCGACACGCTGCAGGGCTGGTCCCCGGGCACGGCTGCCTGCAAGGCGCTGCAGGGCCTCTACGCCCTCAACTTCTACAGCGGCTTCCTCTTCCTCACCTGCATCAGCGTGGACCGCTACGTGGCCATCGTGAGGGTGCCGGCCGCCTGCCGCCTGCGCCCACGGGCTCGCCGCAACGGCTGGCTGACAGCGGGGCTGGCGTGGCTGCTGGCCACACTGCTGGCCATGCCCCAGTTTGTCTATGGCCAAGCAGAGCAGCACCAGGACCTCCGGCTCTGCCGCGTCGTCTTCCCCCGGGCGGTGTCGCGGGTGGCCCGGGGGGCTACCAACCTGGTCCAGGTCTTGCTGGGCTTCGCGGTGCCCTTCCTGGTGATGGCGAGCTGCTACGCGGCCGTGGCTCGGACGCTGCTGGCGACGCGGGGTGCCCAGCCCCACCGGGCGTTGCGGGTGCTGCTGGCCCTCGTGTTGGTGTTCGTGGCCCTGCAGCTGCCCCACAGCCTGATGGTGCTGCTGGACGCGGCCGAGCTGCTGGCCAGCTGGGAGGTGAGCTGTGCCCAGAGCCGCCGCAAGGATTTGGCACTGCTGGTGACGGGGGGGCTGGCATACCTGCGCTGCTGCCTCAACCCCCTGCTCTACGCCTTCCTGGGCCAGCGCTTCCGCCGGGAGCTGTGGCAGTTGGCCAGTGACGTGGGCTGCGTGGGACCCCTCGACCCGCGCTGCCCCAGCTGCCCCAGTCCCCGCCGGAGGACATCGCTCTCCACCTGCCAGGACGTGATGTAGGGTCACGGTGCCCATGGCCGGGGCAGGGACTGGCACCCTGGGGGCTCAACCCCTCTGCAGCTCCCTGGGAGAGCCACCTTGGTGCACGGACCTGCCCTGGGCCCTGGCAGAGTGGCCTGGCAGGGGCAGCCCTGGAGAGCCCACGGGGTTCCTGCACACGCGTGGGCAGAGGGGAGAGCAGCCCCACAGCACCCGCGTGTCCTGCAAGAGCTTCTGCTGCCCAGCTGTCCTTCAGGCCAGGGTGGGGGACACGCAATGTCACGCGTGCTCCAGGGGGCCCTGCAATGTCACACGTGCTCTAGGGGACCCTGCAATATCACGCGTGCTCCAGGGGACCCTGCAATGTCACGCTTATTCCGGGGGTGCGTGCAATGCCACGCGTGCTCTGGGGGTACAGTGCAATGCCACGCGTGTTGCGGGGTCTGTGCGGTGCCGGGATCTGGGGGATGCACACTGGGCCGCAGCTGGGTCCCACCATCACAATAAACCCCGGTGATGTCCCCATGGGCGAGTGGCGTCTCCGTGCGGGCCGGGGCTAACCCGGGAGGGAACGGGCCGGTGCTGCCGGGGGTGGGGGGGGTGTTGCGGGACCGGGGAGCGGGGAGGTGGCCCCGCACCCGTCCAGCCCCACCGGGGAATGCCTGCAGGCGGCAGCACAACATCGCGCTTCCCGCTGTCCCCTGCCCGTCCCCGCCGTCCCCGGGCTCCCCCGGACACGGGGCGGGCGCCCAACCGGGGAGCGGGCGGGGACAGGCTGGGAACGGGGGGGACCCAG